GTGAATTCAAATTTACTGGGTTCATTATAGTCACTTAGTATCTTAAAAGATTGTGTCTATTTTTGATGAATCAACAACTTGGAATGGATTACAGATGATAAATGCAGACTTCTCAGTCTCAGAATCAAATTTTTGAGTATACACTATCAAGAAAATTCTGATCTCATAGATCCTGGTTTAACAGTTTTTTTTGGCAGACTCAAGTTTTCCTCAAACTCATCCACACCACTGAAAGTGAAGTGATAAATTTCTATTTTAAAATTGAAATACTAAGGACTGGGGTATAAGCTCAGTGGTAGAGTTCTTGCCTAGCCCTGGATTCAATCCCCATAACCGCCCCCCCCCAAAAAAAAAAAAATGGAAACACTAAGTATGGAACACCTGCTTGCATTTTTTTATGTTTATTTTTTAGTTGTAGTTGGACACAACACCTTTATTTTATTTATTTTTGTGTGGTGCTGAAGATTAAACCCAGGGTCTCGCATGTGCTAGGCGAGCGCTCCACCACTGAGCCACAACCCAAGCCCATCACCTGCTTGCATTTAAAAAAATTTTTTTTTCGTAGTTGTAGATGGACAGAATGCCTTTATTTATTTGTATGTGGTGCTAAGGATCAAACCCAGTGCTTCGCACATGCTAGGCAAGTGCTCTGTCACTGAGCTACAACCTCAGCCCCCACCTTCTTGCATTTTTTAATTTTATGTGTACATGTTAGACAAGTATTCCAAACTTCCAATAATCACTGAAATTTCATATAATGTACTAATATTTGAACCACAAAGTATTCACTAGTTGTTGCACAACAGGCTATTATTCCATGACTAAGGCATTTACTGTGTCTTGTCTAGCAGTAAATTAAGAATTATCAAGGTGTGGGGCTCAGGTTGTGGCTCATTGGCAGAGCGCTTGCCTAGCATGTGTGAGGCACTGGGTTCGATTCTCAGTACACATAAAATAAATGAACAAAATAAAGGTCTATCAGCATCTTTTTTTAAAAAAAGAATTATCAAGGTGTAATACAGTAGTGTTCTAGCTTGCATAATTTTACATGAGTAATCTGAATTTTAAAAATAGCACAGAATTATTAAACTCCTAATCAGTCACATGTTTATAAGACATTAAGATGAGTTCAGAGTTAGCAAAATAAACTGTGTCACAATCTCCATGAGTTCATTTTTTTAGTTGACTGTTTTGATAATATTTGGTATATACCACATTTGGATGAGTGTTCTTTATCATACTTCATTAAACTGTTAAAATGATATTTAAAAAATATTTCCAGAACTGTTTTTACTTCCTTGGTGAAAATTTGGAATTCTAGGGTTAAATGATCCTTTAAGATTCCATATAGCTCTGAGCGTCTTGGCTACCAGTTAGTTTTTTGATGGAGACTGGTAAGCTTTGAGGAGAAGGTAGTTGAAATATGTAAGACCTGAAATGTCATTGTGTCTTTTTTTTTTTTAATCTGATGATCATTTTTTTTTTTAGAGAGAGAGGGGGAGGGAGAGAGAGAGAGAGAGAGAGAGAGAGAGAATTTTAATATATTTTTTTTTTTAGTTTTCGGCGGTCACAACATCTTTGTTTGTATGTGGTGCTGAGGATCGAACCCGGGCCGCACGCATGCCAGGCGAGCTCGCTACCGCTTGAGCCACATCCCCAGCCCTGATGATCATTTTTTAAAAATATTTTTTTAGTTGTTGATGGACCTTTAATTTATTTATTTGTATGTGGTGCTGAGAATCAAACACAGTGCCTCAGGCAAGTGCACTACTGCTGAGTTACAACCCCAGCCCTGATGATCATTTAAAAAAAAATTATTTTTTTAGTTGTAGATGGACACAATATCCTTATTTTATTTATTTACTTTTATGTGGTGCTGAGGATCAAACCCAGTGTTTCATAAGTACAAGGCAAATGCTCTACCACTGAGCTACAACCCCTCAGCTCCTGATGATCATAATATGTTCTCTTTTTTTTTGGTATTGGGGATCAAGCCTAGGGGCGCTTAGCCACAAAGCCACATCTTCAGCCCTTTTTTTAGAGACAGGGTCCTTGCTAAGTTGTTGAGGCTGGCCTTGGATTCATGATCCTCTTGCCTCAGCCTTCCTAGGCACTAGGATTACAGACATGTGCCATTGTGCCTGGACTCTAATATACTCTTAAGGAAGCCCAAAGGTATAGGTTTGTTCACCTGTAGCTCATAACTGCAGTTCCACCATGACACTATGAAAAGTATCTTGTCCATATGCTACCAATGATGGGACAATTTTGTGATTTTATTTTTTCACATTTAAAGGGTATAACATTATTATAATTTTCTTGTGTCTCACTAATGTGTCTGAATTACAAATGTTTTGAGAGTCTTTTTTTTTTAAGTTGTAGGTGAGCACAATACCTTTATTTTATTTATGTGATGCTGAGGATCAAACCCAGTGCCTCACACATGTGAGACAAGCGCTCTATCACTGAGCCACAACCCCAGCCCCTGTTTTGAGGGTCTTGCATCTACATTTTTGCTGATATTGTATGGGGGATTGAACAACCCAGGGGCACTCTACCACTGAGCTATATTCCAGCCCTTTAATTTTTTTTTTTTTTTTTTGAGACAGGGTCTTACTAAGTTGCTGAGGCTGGCCTCAAACTTGGAATCTTCCTGTCTTGACCTCCTGAGTAGCTGGGATTATAGCCACACACCACCTGGCTTATATTTAAATTTATATTTTTTTATCACTTATTCTTTTGTTAACAATAAGATGTATTTACTGTAGATAACCAATAAAGATCAGAAAAGCATAAAGAAGGAAACAAAATTACCATAATGCCACAATCTAGAGAAAACCATTTTCTCTCTGTTAGTGTTTTTTCCTAAGCATATTATAATGCAATGTTATATAATATAATGCAAAATAATTTTTAAAAAATTATTCATTGTTACTGGGGAAAAGAAAATAAATTAAAACTGTATAGGGGCTGGGGTTTCAGCTCAGTGGTAGAGCACTTGCCTAGCATGTGTGTGGCACTGGGTTCAATCCTCAGCACCATATAAACAAATAAAATAAAGTTATTGTGTTCACCCACAACTAAAAAAATATTTTTTAAAAAAACTGCATTTAACTTTACCACTCAAAGGTAATGATTTTGGTGTATAATGTTCTAGCCTTTTTCCTATACATAGGTTGGGGTATGTACACCTTTTATGGGAAGTGGGATCATATACTGTTTTACTTATCGTTATTATAAGAGTTCTCAGGTTGATAATAAATTTTTTGTTAGTCAGAGATGGGCACAATACCTTTATTTAATTTATTTATTTATTTTTATGTGGTGCTGAGGATCAAGCCCAGTGCTTCACCCATGCTAGGCAAGTGCTCTACCGCTAAGCTATAAACCCAACCCCTTGATTATAATTTCTTATAAATTTCACTTTTTAAATTTTTTTGGCAGTGCTATAAATTGAACTCAGGACCTCACACATGCTAAGCAAGCACTCATCCACTGGGCTACACATCCCAGCCCTTTTTTAAAATTTTATTTTGAGGCAGGGTGTCTCTGTTGTCCAGGCTGGCCTCAAATTTGCAATCCTCTCTCAACCTCCTGAGTAGCTGGGATTACAGGCATGTACCACCCGACCCAGCTCATAAATTTTAGTTTTGGTGTTGGCAATAGATTACCTTTCGTAAAATCCAAAATCTTGAATTCACTTATCCTTTCCCCTATCAACTGGAATTTAGGTAGTTTCTGATTTTTTACTAATTTAAATAATGATGCAATTAGTTTTTTTGTGTAAAATTTTCTGTGTCTCTTATTTTACATATGGTCCTTTGAGTAAAATTATTAGATTATTTTAAAACACTTGAAATATATTGGCTGATTGATTTCTAGGAAAGTTGCATTATTTTATATTCCTAAACAATTAATAGCATTTCCTTAAAAAAGATCTGCTTGCCCGTGCAGTAGTGGCACCTGCCTGTAATCCCATCGGCTCTGGAGGCTGAGGCAGGAGGATCACAAGTTCAAAGCCAGCTTCAGCAACTTAGCAAGGCCCTAAAGCAATATAGCAAGCCTCAGTCTCTAAAGAAAATATTAAAAAAGGGTTGGGGATGTGGCTCAATGGTAAAGCACCCCTGGGTTTAATCCCTGGTATTAAAAAAAAAAATCTATTCTGATGTGACACTAATCTTGATTTATAAATTTTTAAGAATAATTTTTTAGTTGTAGATGGACACAATATCTTTATTTATTTATTTTTTATGTGGTGCTGAAGATAGAACCCAGTGCCTAAAACGTTCGAGGCAAGCACTCTACCACTGAGCTACAGCCCCAGCCCTTGACTTACAAGTGTTGAATTGGGGCTGGGATGTGGCTCAGTGGCAGAGTGCTTGACTCACACATACCAGGCCCTGGTTTTGATCCTCAGCACCACATAAAAATAAATAAATAAAATAAAGGTATAAAAAAATGTTGAATTAATAACTGGTTAGGGAAAAATAATGAGGTTATAGTATATAAGTCTATCTTCAGCAAATAATAGAAATTTAGATTTTGCAAATGTAGAGATTAAGTAGTGTGTATCATTTCCAAGGAAATGTAGAGGTGTAGCTATAGGAAGTATTCCTATGTTAAGGATAGCCCTGTAACACTTCACAGCACTGATTTGATTCTAAAAATACATCAAAATAGTAAATGGTTAAATACATATGAAGTTTAGATTATTAATTTCTTGAGATCAGGGTCTTTGTCCTAATCATATCCCTAGTATCTTGCATAGTATTAGTTCAAAGTAAAGTTTTTAATAGATTAATGAATAGTAGGGTTTGTTTTTATTTTGAGGTGCTAGGTATTGAACCCAGAGTTTTACTCATACTAGGCAAGCCCTCTACCACTGAGTTACATCTCTAACCCTAATGAATGGTTTTTACTACCTTGACCTCCGTTATAATTATTGAAAAGCATAATGTAGGTTATCCTTGTTTCATCAAATTTTATCTTTGCCTCCTGAGGTATGTTTTGTCAATTGAGAGTGCTGAAGAAATACGAGAATATGTGACGGACCTCCTCCAGGGAAATGAAGGCAAAAAAGGTCAATTCATAGAAAATCTTATAACCAAATGGCAAAAGAATGATCAGGAGTTGCTTTCTGATCCTTTGCAGCAATGTTTTAAAAAAGATGGTAAGTTAATGTAATTAGGTATAGGTTGAAATATTGTTCATAAATTAGCAGGTTTAAAAGTCTTAGTATTTTCAGCTACCTGTATTTCTTCACAGCTAATTAAAACATAATCATATGTCTCAAAATAAAAAGGGATGGGGATGTGTCTCAATTGTTAAGCACCCCTGAGTTTAATCATCCGTGGTACCAAACAGGAAAAATAAAGAAATGTTGACTGATTATAATTGTATAAATAACAGAGGTTTCTGTTTAATTCCCAAAAGGTGAACAACAAAGTAAATGACCTAAGTCATTATTACTTTATAATCATAAATATCACCTTTTAAATTGTTAATCCAGCCAGTAGTATTTGAGTTAATATCATTGACTATAATCTTGAAAATGATGGTTTAGTTTAGTTCTGGATTGAAAGGAATTCTGCCTGACTTGATGTCTTGATTCTACTAAGCATCGCTTTCTTTTTATTACCTATTCAAGTTAACTAATACATGTGGGGTGAGGCCCTAGGTTCAAATGCCAGTACTGTGATTAAAAAAAAAAGAAAAAGTTGTTAACTAATGATTCTTACTATTATCAATCTTTGTGTGATTGTGTGTTTATTCTTTAAAGAAAGTTTTGATATGCATAAATCAGGAGACCAGCTAAAGCGTGGTAGGCGGAAAGGAAGAAATAAACAGGAAGTTCCTGCATTTGCTGAACATGACACAACTATAGAGGTCAAAACACCTTTTGATTTGGCCAAGGTGAGTACTTATAGAATGAAGCTTTTTCTGCCTCTATGGAGAAGAAGTGACTAATATTTTTTAGAGAGTGAAGTGTAAAAATTGATCTGCAGTGGCAATTTTCAACAAATACATGAATTTAGATGATAATGATGACATATTGCTTTCTATATGGTAGGTTTTTTTGTTTGGTGGTTCTATGGATTGAACTTAATACATACTATCCAACTGATAGAAAATAATGACATGCTGTGGGTTTCAACTTCAACATTTTGTAGGTTAATGCTGAAAGAACGCACAATGCTTGCTATTATTAAAGGTATTCCTTTCGGCTGGGGTTGTGGCTTAGTGGTAGAATGCTCGTCTAGCACGTGCGAGGCCCTGGGTTCGATCCTCAGCCCCACATAAAAATAAATAAATAAAATAAAGGTATAAGGCTGGGGATGTGGCTCAAGTGGTAGCTCACTTGCCTAGCATGCGTGAGACACTGGGTTCAATTCTCAGCACCACATAAAAATAAAATAAAGATATTGTGTCCACCTAAAACTAAAAAATAAACATTAAAAAAATTATAAAAAATAAAGTTAAAAAAACCTGAACTTTGTTTAAAAAAAAAAAAAGGTGTTCCTTTCTTGAACCAGTCTTCTCTAATATTATTATTATCGTCTAGCCTTCAAAACTTATTTCCTAGTCTCTCTTGGCTCTCACAATAACTCTTAAGGAAAACAAATGTTTATAATCAGGGAAATTTGATAAGCTAAATTTCCCCAAAGAAATAGTAGTTAATTAAACTAAGATTGAAGTACTGAACTCAAAAATTTTGAGTGTGATTACCAAGAAAAAAACATAGGGCAGGCACAGTGGCACATTCCTATAATCCCAGGGATATAGGACACTAAGACACAGTGGCACATGCCTGTAATGCCAGGGATATAGGAGGCTAAGGCAGAGGATGATTGCACATTTGAGTCCCCCTCTTGGGCAATTTAGTAAGACCTTGTCTTAAAATAAAAAATGAAAAGGATTGGAGACGTAGCTCAGTAGTAAAGTGCCCCTGAATTCAATCCCCATTACCACAAAAACAAACAAACATAGGTGGGCTTAGAGTGTACCTCATTGATACAGCATTTGCTGAGCACATGCAAATTGGTGAGTTCAATCCCCAGTGCTGGGAGAGGGGATGAGGGAGAATTTAAAAGTGTTTGAAAAATAATTAATATTAAATTAAAGAGAAGTAATAGAAGAGTGAAAGTTTTTTGTCAATAGGAATGAAATGAGCAAAGACTATCACAAACAGCCAGGTGTTGTGCCACATACCTATATTCCCAATAATTTGGGAAGCTGAGCAAGAAGCTGAGTCGGGAGGATTGCAAGTTTGAGGCCAGCCTGGGCACCTTAGCAAGACCCTGTCTTAAAATAAAAAATAAAAAGAGTTGGTGATGGGGCTTGGTGGTTGAATGGCACTGGACTCACTCCCCAGTACCACAAAAACAAAGACCTTCAGAAGCAAAAGAAAAGCATAGATGATTAGTATAGAAAGGTGTTTAACTTTACTTATAATTAAGGTGACCAATTTGTCGTCTTTTTTCCTTGTTTGTTTGGGACTTTTTAAGTTTTAGCATTGAAACTCTCATGTCCTGGGACACTCCCTCCCCCAACTCCTAAGCAAACCAGGCTGTCTGATTATTCTACTAATAAATAATTACACATTAAAGCTGAGCACAGTAGCACATGCCTGTAATCCCAGTTACTCAGAAGACTAAGCATCAGGATTGAGAGTCCAAGGCTAGCTTAGGTAACTTAACAAGACCCTGTCTTAAAACAAAAAATAAAAAGGGTTGTGGGGAAGAAAAGGACAAAAGAAAAAAAAAAAAAAGACTAGCTGGGGATATAGCTCAGTGGTAGAGCCTGCGTTCAATCCCCAGTACCACCACCACCACAACAAATTACTCAGTGATAACGAAGTTGTATTAAGTTAGGAACATTCTGAACACTACTGGTAGCAATGTATATTGATTTAAGCTGTCTAGGGACACTTTGGCAGCTTACGTCCAGAACTAGGCACAGTGGAACATGCCTGTAAGGGACTCCCAGCAGGCTGAGGTACCTGGAATGTGTTCAGTGATAGAGCGAACCTGGGTTCAATCCTGTACCAAAAATAAAACACAAACTGTGGAAATGTTCAGATACTTCTAACATATTTACATAACTCAAAAATATAAGCTGGGTGTGGTGGTGGACGCCTATAATCCTAGCTATTCAGGAGGCTGAGGCAGTGATACAGGTTTGAGGCCAGTCTCATCCATTTAGTGAGATCTTCTCTCAAAATAAAAAAGGCTGGGGATGTAGCTAACTGGCACAGTGTCCCTGGGTTCAATCCCCAGAACTGTGAAAAACAAAACAACTACAACAAAAGTAATCCATTTCAGATTTTAGATTGTGGAGTGACATACTATGCCTTTTCCTGCTTGCCTCGATCTCCCCTTCTCTCTACTATTTTTGTCTCTCCCCTTCTCTTTCTAAATAACTGAGGTTTTCCCTCCTTCATTCTTTTCATTCTCATTGTTCAGTGTTATTGTGATGTCTTTGTACAATTAGGCACAAGAGAACAGTAGCTCTGTAAAGAAGAAGACAAAATTTGTCAATTTATACACAAGAGAGGGACAGGACAAGCTTGCAGTCCTACTTCCTGGTCGCCACCCTTGTGACTGCCTGGGCCAGAAGCATAAGCTCATCAATAACTGTCTCATCTGTGGGCGGATCGTCTGTGAACAAGAGGGTTCCGGCCCCTGCTTATTCTGTGGATCTCTGGTAAATTTTTTTTCTATTGTTTTATTGTGTTAATACACAGAGCCATTCAGATCCCTAGCAATTTCCCTTTTTCTTGGTAAATTTCTTCCCCAAGGATTCTAGTAGCAGGGATTTGATTAGAAACCCCAGGTTGTGCCAGGCATTGTGGAGCACCCCTATAATCCCAGTGGCTCAGGAGCCTGAGGCAGGAGTATCTCAAGTTCAAAGGCAGCCTCAGCAATTTAGCAAAGCCCTAAGCAACTCAGCAAGACCCTGTCTCAGACTAAAAATATAAAAAGGCTGAGATGTGGCTGAGTAGTTAAGAGCCCTATGTTCAATCCCTGGGACCAAAAAAAAGCAAAACTAAAAACTTTAGAGCTTGAAGTGTCAGGATTTTTTGTAGTCTTCAGATGTGGCTTATATCTGTAGGGGCAAGAGTCATGGTGACATAATCTTTAAGACTTCATAGCTTCTGTTTCTGGAACAACACCTGTTATAACTTTGCTTTGTTTAAGAAATGACCTTAAGAATGTAGTAGTAGGCCTGGGGTTGTGGCTCAGCAATAGAGCATTCACCTCGCACGTACAAGGCCCTGGGTTCGATCCTCAGAACCACATAAAAATAAATAAATAAATAAAGATATTGTGTCCAACTACAACTAAAAATTAATAAACACAAAAAGAATGCAGTAGTAATAGGGCTAGGGATGTGGGGATCTGGCTTAATGGTAGAACACTTGCCTAACATGTATGAGGCCCTGGATTCAATCCCCAGCACTACCAAAGATAAAAAAGGAAAAAAGAGAAATAGCAATAATGACTCTTAAAAACTCTAAAGAGCTGTCTGAAAAGCTTATTTTACCAGTTGAGCTGTCTGGCAGAAGCAATAACATTTGATGTTGATAAAGGCATCTGTTTTATATTGCTGTATTTTCTCTAATGGACTCTTGATTTTTCCACATACTCAGAGATTAAACTGATAGACAACTGAATGACCTGAAAAATGTAGTTTTCACCATGTTTATGAAATAGCAGTTAGCTGGGCATAGTGGTTCACACCTCTAATCCCAGCAACTTGGGAGGCTGAGGCAGGAGGATCAAGAGTTCAAAGCCACCCTCAGCAACTTAGCAAGGCCCTTAGTGAGACCCTGTCTCTAAATAAAATACAAAAAGGCTGGGGAAATGGTTCAGTGGTTAAGTGCCCCTGGGTTCAATCCCCAGTACCAAAAAAAAAAAAAAGAGGCAGTGAATTTTTTCTCTTAGGTCTGTTCAGTTCAAGAAATAGTAATGCAAACCAGATTGGTCTTAAAGTCTTAAATTTGATAAGTTTGACACAGTCCCTTCTCAGCTTCCTTCTTTTTTTTTTTTTTTTTAAAGATAGAGTGAGAGAGGGAGGGGGAGAGAGAGAGAGAGAGAATTTTTAATATTTATTTTTTAGTTTTCGGCGGACACAACATCTTTGTTTGTATGTGGTGCTGAGGATCGAACCCGGGCCGCACGCATGCCAGGCGAGCACGCTACCGCTTGAGCCACATCCCCAGCCCTCAGCTTCCTTCTAAAACTTGCAATAATTTTATATTAAATGGAGCTTTCTTTGCTTAACATATTCATTATTTTCTAAGTTTGTTATGTTTGAAAGCAAAGAAACAAAATATATATAGTTGGGCTAGAGATGTAACTGAGTGGTAGATACCTTGCCTAGCATGCATGAGGCCCTGGGTTCCATCCTCAGCACTGCAAAAAAATGTGTGTGTGCATATATATTTAGTATAAAAGTAAATCATAGTATAAAAGTAAATCTAATTTCACTAGTGGTACTGTAATCTGCTTCTTTTTCTGGTTCTTTTTTTCTAGAATCAGAAGATTTAATAAAAAGTCTTACTTGATTTTTCTAGTGTTCCAAAGACAAATATTTGTCCTTTGAAAGTACAGGAGATTTAAATAAATAGAAAATAAAACCCCACCAAGTGTTAGATATACTTGCAGTGAGGTAGTTTTTTATTTTTGTATGTCTCATAAAAAGGAAATGAAGAGAGAAGGAAAAACTTATTTAGTTTAATGTGTTTTAATAGATTTGTCCTGATGAAAAGCATCAATAATGTCATTTTATTGTCATATCTAATGTATAATTTAAGGTTACATTTAAGGTATATCAAGTGAACAATATAATTTAACTGTTAGATCATGTGTCCTTCTCTTATTATTTTACAGGTATGTACACATGAAGAACAGGATATTTTACAGCGTGACTCAAACAAAAGCCAGAAATTGCTGAAGAAGCTCATGTCAGGTAGACAGGAATCTTCTAAATGACTGTGGTGATGGGTACAACTTGTATCTATGGTTGTTTTTCTTTCCTATATTGTGGTATGAAAGATGCAGTTTATAAAAGATGCAGTTTATTCATTCATCTATTCAACAACCACTTATTTTTTTAAATTTTACTATTTTAGCTACATAACTTTGAGTAACAAATATATAATAGTACATTGGATCACAGCTCAAAGAATAAAATTAATATCCATGAGCTCAAACTCATATAAATAAGTAACCAAATAAGTTAAGAAATAAAGAAAAGAGAATTTCTCTTTCTCTCTTTCTCTCCCTCTCTCCCTGTCTCTCTATTAAAGAGTATGTGTGTGGTGCCAGGGACTGAATCCAGGGACTCATACATGCTAGGCAAGTACTCTACCACTGAGCTACATCTCCAGCCCTAATTTTTGAAATTGTTAGTGAGGTTGAACATGTCTACATTTTTATTTATTTATTTTTTGAGACTGGGTCTTGCTATATTGCCAAGGCTTAACCCTCAAGTGATCCTCCTGCCCAGGCTCCTAAGTAGCTGGGAGTATAGGTATGTACCATCATACCAGGCTAATTCCTCCTTGTTTCTTTTTTCTTTTCTTTTCTTTCTTTTTTTTTTTTTTTTGGTGGTGGTACTGGAATTGAACTCAAAGATGCTTTGCCACTGAGCTATACCCCAAACCCTTTTTTATTTTGAGACAGGCTGGTCTTGAATTTGCCATCCTCCTCCCTCAGCCTCCTGAGTCACTTGTATTTGGGTGTGCATCACCACACCTGGCTAATTCCTCCTATTTTCTAATTTAGTGAACTCTTCCCATATTTTGTTCTTTGCTGAACAGTAGTACAGCTAATTTGTACTGTAGGCTGATACCATTTGATTTATCATCATCTGTGAATTTCAATTTCCTTAACTTTATAACAAATATAATTTCAAATATTATTGTGAGAATTAAATAATTTAATTTATATTAAATGCTTTTACATTAAACTTTTCATTTTTGCTCTCTTCCTGAAATTTTTCTTTTTTTCTTCCATTATTTTTGTTTTGATTTGTAAAAGTACATTTAAAAATGATAGTCAGCCCTACTCAGTAAAGGTTTTCATTTTTACAGCATTTAATTTTGTTGATTGATTGATTAATTGCTAGCTATATCTTCAGTCCTATCAGTCATTTTTATGTTGTGTGTTTGAACACTTTAGTACCTTTAGTGATCCAAAATTCTGTAAGGGAAGAAAAGGACCTCAACATTCATTTAGTACCTATTACATATCAAGCAACACTTGATACTTTAAAAGTTAGACCTGGCCTCTGTACTTGGTTGTTTTCCATTGAAATGAAGGCTCCAGACCAGCAGATCAGAATGAGATCTTCCCATATTTTGTTCTTTGCTGAACAGTAATACAGCTAATTTGTACTATATAGGCTGATATCATTTGATTTCCTTATTCAATTTCAGGGATGGAGAATTCTGGAAAGGTAGACATCTCTACCAAGGACCTTCTTCCTCATCAAGAATCTCGAATTAAGTCTGGTCTGGAGAAGGCTATCAAGCATAAAGATAAACTGTTAGAGTTTGACAGAACTAGGTATGATATGGTTAGAATAACAAATGCTAAGAAATAGACTTTTCCACGCCATTAAAAATTTTGGGGCTAGGGCTGTAGCTCAGTGGCAGAGTGCTTGCCTAGCACATGTGAAGCACTGGGTTTGATCCTCAGCAACACATAGAAATAAAAACAAAATAAAATAAAAGTATGCTGTCCATCTACAACTACAAAAATAAAAATTAAAAAAAAACAACAACACTATTTTGGCATTTGATACCTTCTCAAAGTGGAATGTGAAAGAGTTTACAAAGAAGAGCTGGATGCTGTGTATAGGAGGCCTACATCTTGTTTTTGAATCTGTGTTTGAATAAAATAGGCTCTCACCAAGAGAATCGTATCCTGCACCAGTTTATTTTTTGTTTGTTTGTTTTTCTGGTACTAGGGATTGAACTTAGGGTGTTCTACCATTGAAGTACATCCCCAGCCCTTTTTATTTTGAGATAGGGTCTCACCGAGGTACTCTGGATGGCTTCAGATTTGTGATCCTCCTGCCTCAGCCTCCTGCATTGCTCTGATTACATGTATGTGTCACTGTGTCTGGCCCTGCATCAGTTTGTTTTGGCAAATGCTAGTATACCCCCTGGACAGTTGACTTGGGTTGTCATAATTCCCTACTTATTTCACTTGCAGCCATTTATTCATCTAGTCAACGTATGCAATCATTTATTGCTTAACGATGGATGGAGATGTGTTCTGAGAAATATGTTTTAAGTGATTTTGTCATTGTTGAAAATCATAGAGTTTATTTGCACAAACTTAGGTGATGTAGCCTATTACTTACCAGGCTGTGTGGTATATGTATTTATGGCAGAGCCTATTGCTCGTAGGGCCATGATGATCAAAACACAAGATTGAACTAATGCAACAGAAAACCATGCAATCCAAGAGATACTATAGGGGCTAGGAGTATAGCTCAGTGGTAGAACACTTGCCATGTATGTGAGGCCATGGGTTTGATACCCAGCACTGAAAACAAAATGAAATAGAGAGATGCATGAGATATTTTAGGCCACTACTTGCATAACACAGCATTATTGTAAGTAGAAGGAATACACTCTAAAATAAGGATAAGAGTTAGGGGAGTATCTCAGTGGTAGATCACATAAGTGTGTATGAGACACTGGGTTTCATCTTGACTATCTAAAAATAAATATAAAATTTAATGATAACCTAGTAAATATATAATGAATAACCTAGCAAATACATAAACCAGTAACAATCATTTACTATCATTATCAATCACATATCACCCATAATTTTTAAAAATATTTTTAGTTGTAGATAGACACAATACCTTTGTTTATTTGGGTTTTTTTTATGTGATGCTGAGCATCAAACCTAGTGCCTCACATGTGCTACTGAGCTACATCCCCAGTCCTTTTTATTTTGTGACAGTCTTACTAAATTGTTGAAGCTGACCTTTAACTGTGATCCTCTTCTTCAGTCTCCAGAGAAGCTGGGATTACATATGAACCTGATTTCAGTTTTTTTTCTTTATGCCTATGTTTATCACTGATTCGTTATTATAGAGAAATTGAGTTTTTTCTTTTTCTTTTTCTTTTTTTTTTTTTTGTGTGTCTGTGTGTGTGTGTTTGGGTCACTTAACATTAAGCTATATCCCCAGCCCTTTAAAAAAATTTTTTTGGACAGGGTTTTCCCTAAGATGCTTAGGGATTTTCTAAGTTGCTGAGACTGGTTTAAAGGTGTGCATCATCTTGACCTGTAGAAATTCAGGCTTTATTGGATTTGTGACTTTGGAGTAATCACTTAATTTCTGTGAGCTCCAGGTTCATTATCTATAGAATGGGAGTTAGATCAATAAGACTACTTATAGTTCTGTTTCTTTGACAGTATGATCTTAGAGATAGACCTGATTATCATATCTTGGAACTTTGCCCCATTGTGTTAGTAAAGTCCTAGAGATGGGGTATGGAGATGGAAACTGTCATAGTAGTCAAATAATAGTATGTCCTAAGAATAGATAATTAAGCCTTAGGACAGATTTCAGGGTAAAACTCTAGTAAGCAAATGGGCCTATCAGTAATAGACTGGATCCCAATTGTAGAAAAATTAGAATATTGAGTAAGTTGCCAGAACATGAACTCTGATGCAGTAAAATCATACTGAAGCCCAGGTATCAGAAGGTGAAAGCTGGAGTATGCAGAAAGGAAGAATGATAATGAATTATGGTACTATGCCTTTTCTGTCTGAGATTGAAATGAGTTCTAAAGCTGCATTGGAGATAAGATATATGCAGCCCAGCTGGTGTCCTGCATGCCTGTAATCCCAGCTTGGGGCTGTGGCTCAGTAATAGAGCTCTGGAGGCTGAGGCAGGAGAATAGTGAGTTCAAAGTCAGCCTCAGCAACAGCGATGTGCTAAGCAACTCAGTGAGACCCCTGTCTCTAAATAAAATACAAAATAGCGTTTGGGGTGTGACTCACTGGTGGAATGCCCCTGAGTTCAATCCCTGGTATCAATAAACAAACAAACAAAAAAAGATATATGCAAAAGCTGGTAATCAGGCTGAGTTTCACCTGTTTTTGTAATATTCTTGGACTTTGTATTTCAGACAGTAACCTCTAGACTAGCAAAAGAGTAAGTTACCTTGAAACAGTTCCTCATTAATAATTCTGTGTTTGTCAACATGTGGCTTAATTGTCATGTGTTTGTTTGTTTTTTAGTATTCGAAGGACCCAGGTCATTGATGATGAGTCAGATTACTTTGCCAGTGATTCTAACCAGTGGTTGTCCAAAATTGAGCGGGAAACTTTGCAGAAGCGAGAAGAGGAGCTGAGAGAACTTCGACATGCCTCTCGACTTTCTAAGAAGGTCACTATTGACTTTGCTGGCCGGAAAATCCTAGAAGAAGAAAATCCATTAGCAGAATATCACAGTAGGTAAGTGGCCAGCACCAGAAAGGGTCTCAACAAAGGAGTAGGTTGACTATATAGGATTTTTACTTCTTTAGTGGTGTTGTTTTTGTTGATTTTTAAAAATGATGATCATCAAGCTGGGCACAGTCGCACATGCCAGTAATCCCAGCTGTTTGGGAGACTGAGTTAGGAGGATCATGTAAAGCCAGCCTCAGCAACTTACCAGGGCCCTAAGAAACCCAAAAAGACCCTGTCTTTAAATCAAATATAAAAAAGGACTGGGGATGTGGCTCAATCCCTGCTATTAAAAAAAAAAAAAAAGGATGATGATCCACAGCACTGTGGGAAAAAAATAAGTAAATGAAAATTTAAAAATAAAAACAAATTTTTAGAGCTAGAGATGTAGCTCAGTAGTAGAGCACTTACCTAGTATGCACAAGACCCTAGGTTTGATCCCCAGCACAATAAAAATAAAGTTAATGTTTATTGGGGCTTAAAAACATGTAAAAGTAGCTAAGAAAATTTTTCAATGAAGGAGACCTGTCCTTACTTATAATAAAATACTATTACTTTTTTAGAAACTTTTGATGAGTTTGTTTGTTTTGGTACTGGGGATTAAACTCAAGGGTGCTTTACCACTGAACTATATCCACAGCCCTTTTCATTTTTTATTTTTATTTTTTAATTTTTAATTTTTTTATTTGTAGATGGACACAATACCTTTTATTTATTTATTTATTTTTATGTGATGCTAAGGATCAAACCTAGTGCCTCACACATGGTAGGCAAGAGCTCTATCACTGAGCCACAACCCCAGCCTCTTATTTTTTTATTTTGAGAAAGGGCCTCACTAAGTTACCAAGGCTGGCCTTGAATTTTTTTTTTTTTTTTTTTTTTTAGTACCAGGGATTGAACTCAAGAGCACTTAACCACTGCACTACATGTCCAGCCCTTTTTTGTATTTTATTTAGAGATAGGGTGAGTTGCTTAGTATCTCGCTTTTGCTGAGGCTGGCTTTGAACTCACAATCCTCCTGCTTTAGCCTCCCAAGCTTCTGGGATTACAAGTGTGTGCCATCGAACCTGGCTAACCTTGAATTTTTGATACTCCTACATCATCCTTCCAAGTCACTGGGAATATAGTTGTGTGCCATTGTGCCTGGCACAGTTTTAATGAAAATATAGTACTAAACTGGGAGAAAATATATTGAAAATTTTTAGCAAAGAAGCAATATCTGTACTTTACAAAGACCGCCTACAAATTAAAAGACCAAAAAAAAAAAAAAATCCAGTAAAAAAATGGGTATGGTGGTTCAAGCCCATAATCCTAGCTACTAGGACAGCTAAGGCAGAAAGATCACTATTTTGAGTCTAACCTTAGCAACTTAGGGAGACCTTGTTTCAAAATAAAATTTAATAAGTAGGGTTGGGGGTATAGCTCAGAGGTAGAGTACTTTTGTAACATGCTTATGGTTCTGAGTTTAATCCCCAGAACCTCAAAAATAAAAATTAAAAAAAAAGAAGAAGAAGAAAAATGGGCAAAAGCTAAGAATAGATAAATCACAGATGAGGTAATATGAATAGCCAGGAAGCATTAACTATTTATCAGAAAATTCAGATTTTAAAACATATTACTTTGCATAGTGGCACATACTTGTAATCTCAGTGATTCAGGAGATTGAGGCAGGAGTAGCAAAAGTTTGAGACCAGCCCTAACAACTTAATGAGGCCCTGTCTCAAAATGAAAATTTTTTTTAATATTTATTTTTTAGTTTTAAGTGAACACAATATCTTTATTTTACATTTATGTGGTGTTGAGGATCGAACTCAGTGCCTCAAGCATGCTAGGGAAGCACTCTACCACTGAGCCACAACCCCAGGCCCTCAAAATGAAAATTTTTAAAAAGGCTGGGTGTGTAGCTCAGTGGTAGAGCACCTTGGGTTAAACCCCAGCACCATGTTGCCATTGTTTTTGTTTTAGTATCAGGGATTAAACCCAGGGGCACTTAATCACTGAGCCACATCCTTAGCCTGTTTTTCATTTTTTGTTTTTAATTTTGAGACAGGATCTCATTAAGTTGTTTAGGGGCTTGGCAAGTTGCTGAAGCTGGCCTCGAACTTGCAATTCTCCTGACTCAACCTCCCGAGCCACTGGGATTACAGCATGTGCCACTGCACCCGGCCCTTTATAGCTATCTTAAACTTGCCATTGAAATTCAAAGTTTCTTGAAGGCTGGAACCATGTCCTCCCCATCTTTTAGGTTGAATTGCATATAAGAGGTTCCTTAACAAATATATATTGAGCTGAATTCAAGGTCGTGTTCAACCTTTTCTATTAGTTGAAGCTTGTTATTATTTTATTATGTTTCAAAATTATAATCATCATTCACAAATGTTTGTCAGACATCAAACAGGAGTATGGATATAGCCACAAGGAATATAGAGTAATAGAATGGAATAAGATAGGGCTTCTAAGCCAGTAGGATTTCACAATGTTCAAATGAAAATCTTCATGTCCCTCTGCTCCCTGGCCCCAGGGCTAAGAACCAAACTGAGGGCCTTGAGGGGGCTAGGCAAGAGCTCTGCCACTGAGCTAAATTCCCAATGCCATCACGTTCATTTATAGGTTTAGATTCAAATACCCAAAACTAAAACCTTAAGCACAGAATACATGGGATGTATCCAATGGTTATTTAGGGACCCTTTTTTAGAACTTCTAAACCTCGAAGCAGATAGAATTCAAATAGCATAGGTAAGTAAAAAAGAGACTCCTGAGTAGACAAAGTAATAACTGTAGGGTGTATTGAATAGACAAGCTGCCATAGAATATTCATCTCTGAGTCAGACTACTTTTAAACAACTTTTATATTCTTTGTATTTTTGTTGATCTTGTTAAACTGGTAACTATAGTGTGCTCTACCTGTTTTCCTTAAGTTCTGTGGAAGGAAGGTAAAGTGGGGAGAGGGAAAGTTGTTCATGGGCTTCTCCTTTGAATTCCAAATTTTAATATTACCAAAGGGTTGGTTTTTAAGTAAAGACATTCTGAGCATAGAATATTACCGATTATTGCTTCCTTTTGGTTTATTATTACAGATTAGATGAGACAATACAGGCCATTGCCAATGGAACCTTGAACCAGCCACTGGACAAAATGGATAGATCTTCTGAAGAGCCTTTGGGAGTTCTGGTAAATCCCAACCTGTACCAGTCCCCTCCCAAGGTTAGTGGACCTTTCTTTCCTCTAGCTGATAACGAGAGAATTTTGGTCCTAAATATTTCTCCTTTCAAGTATGTCTGTTTATAGTTTATAGATACCAATTTGCTCTCTTAACTCACCTACCAATCTTACATTCTTGCCCAATTTTTTTCCAGTTTTTTTCGCAGCACTTCCAAAAAGTTGACTTGTACTATCTTCAATGAGCATTTTCCAAAAGAAGATGTTATTAAATACAATAGAAATTTAGACAGTAGAGTCAAGGGCATTTGCACATACTTGTAATCCCAGAAACTCAGGATGCTGAGGCAGGAGAATCCTAAATTTGAGGCTAGCCTCAGCAACTTACTGAGACCCTATCTCAAAATAAAAATAAAGCTGGGCATGGTGGCATACGTGTACAGATAAATGAAAAGTTGTGCTGCAATTGTGTACAATGAATCAAATGCAATCTGCTGTCATATATACGTAAATAAAATAAATAAAGAATGAATGAATGAATGATTTATTTATTTATTTATTTTAAATTTCTTTTTTGTTGTTGGTATAGTTGGGCACAATACCTTTATTTTATTTGTTTATTTTTATGTGGTGCTGAGGATCGAACCCAGTGCCTCGCACATGCCAGGCAAGCGCTCTATTGCTGAGCCACAACCCCAGCCCAAGATTTATTTTGACTCAAGTTTCAGAGGTTTTAGTCAATAGTCACTTGACCTCATTGCTTTGGGCCTGTGGCAAGGCAGAGCATATGGCAGAGTGCATATGCTAGAGCAGAATAACTTGCCTCATAACATCTGGAAAGCAAAGAGAAAGGAAGAGGTTTGGGTTCCAATGACCTCTTTAATGGTACACCCTAATGACCTAACTTCCTAACTTTCTTCTACTAGTCCCCACACTAAAAGTTCTGCCACCTCTCTATATCGCTATCAACTGGGACCAAGCTTTTAATACATGTGCTTCTGGGGGATGTTCAAAATCAAAATCAAAATCCATATAAAATGATGAATACGTGCAAGCTAGGTAGGGTTTATAAGATGTATTATTATAATGAGAAATAGAGTAGGATTAGGTAGGTAGGATCAGATCATTAAAGAACTTTTTTTCTTTTACTTTTGGGGAGGGAGTACTGGGGATTGAATCCAGGGGTGCTCTATCACTGAGCTATACCCCCAGTTTTTTTTATTTTTTTATTTTGAGATAGGGTCTCACTGTTACTTAGGGCTTTACTAAATTGCTCAGGCTAACCTCAAATTTGTGATCCTCTTGCCTCAACCTTCCAAGTTACTGGGATAATAAGCATGTGCCACTGCACCTGGCTAAAGAACTTTTTAGCTAGGAAGTTTTAGCATTTTTATTTTATAAGTAAATGTGATACAGAAAGTTCTTATGTAGAGAGAGAATACCCTCAGGGTAATGCTTTACCTACTTACCTTCAGCACTATATATGTGTCAAATTCTGTGCTAGGTAGTGGGAAATTAAAAGATTAATTAAAGGTCCAGCTCATGTCCTTAAGAACTTCACAGATCAGTGGGAAGATGTGTATGAATGCAAAGATTACAGTTCTTTAAGATAATTGCTATGAAACATACATGTCATAGATGCAACAGTATTTATGAGTATGTTCATAAATCTGTGAGAGAGCATAAAAGAAAGAGTGTTTGACAACTAAAGAATGACTAGAAGAGTTTGGGTTTGTAGCTCAGCGGTAGAGTGCTTGTTTAGCTACAGGTGAGGTACTGGGTTCAATTTTCAGCACCTCAGAAAAATAAATAAATAAAGGTAATATGTCCATCTACAAATAAAAGAAAATTAAAAAAAAAAAAATAACTAAGAATTTCTAGGTAGGCAAATCTGGGGAGAGAATTCCAGGCAGAAGGTACAACATGTGTAATGACTCAGCATCTTGAATGGATAAAGAAAATGTGGTACATATACACAATGGAATATTACTCAGCCTTAAAGAAGAATGAAATTATGGCATTTGCAGGTAAATGCTAAGTGAAATAAGCCAATCCCAAAAAACCAAAAGCTCAATGTTTGAAATCTCTGATAAGTGGATGTTGATCCATAGTGGGGTGGGGGGATAGGGAAGAATGAAGGAAATTTGTTCTGTGTAGAGGGGAGTAAGGGGAGGGGTGGTGTTGTGGGGATGGGAAGGATGGTAGAAAGAGACAGACATTATTACCCTGTCTACATGTATCATTACCCTGCTGGACTAACTCTAAACCATGTACAGCCAGAAAAATGAGAAGTTGTGTTCTATTTGTGTACAATATGTCAAAATGCATTCTACTATAAAATAAATAAATTCATTAATTAATTAAAAAAATAAAGGGATAGTGAATGAAGACTGCCTCTCCCTTTTAAGGCCAAGAAAAAAAAAAGACTCAGCATCTTGAAAGCATTGCGGGTTTGGGGAAATCAAAGTATTTTTATGGACTAGTAGATGTGTTAGTTTCCTAGTGCTACAAAACAGATAGGGTGACTTAAGACAGTAAGATTTCTTTCCTCATAGCTGGAGGCTAAAATTTCAAAATCAAGATGTTAGCAGAGCCACATTCCCTCCAAAGATTGTACACATGAATATTTTCTTGCCTCTTTCAGTTTCTGGTTGCCCTAGGCTTGTAGCTAAATCATTCCGATCTCTACCTCTGTCTTCACTTGGCCTTCTTCCATGTGTATCTCTGTGTGTCCTCTCCTTTTCAAAGAATACCAGTTATTGGATTTAGGTCACCATAATTCAGTGTGAACTCATCTTAAATTGATTACATCTACAAATTTGTAAGGTCATATAATCAAAGTCTAGGTAGACATGAACTCGAGGGGATACTCTTTGTTTTTAATTGATTTTATTTTTTAAATACATGACAGTGGAATGTATTACAATTCTTATTGCACATATGGAGCACAATTTTTCATATCTCTGGTTGTATATAAAGTATGTTCACACCAACTTATGTCTTCATACATGTACTTTAGATAATGATGTCGACAACATTCCACCATCATTGCTAACTCCCTGCCCCCTCTCTTCTCCTCCCACCCCTTTGCCCTATCTAGAATATGTCTATTCCTCTCGTGCCCCTCAAGGGGATACTCTTTAACCCAGTGCAGTAGACAATACCTGCTCTTGAAAGCCCTGTTTCGCAATAAGCACTGAGTTTTATTCGAAAGTAAGCAAAGAAGGATCCTTGAATATCCTTGAAGACTGGTATGACTTCCATGCTTATACAGACAGTGCACTGGAGGGAAGGTTAAGACTAGAAACAGAAAAATTGTTCCGGAGGTTATTGTAATGGGGAGATAATAAGGGCCCAAGTTATTATCGTAGTACCAGTAGGATAGAAGAGAGTTATTTAACAACTAACAATATAGACAAGTAGATTAGTTAACAGGTTATATAATAGTATTATTGAAAGATAATGAGGGAGAATGGCTGTTTGGTTATAGTCAAGAACTGTAGTAGAGACAGAACTAAGAATTTGGGCCTCAGGATTATTCATCCAACATTTTTACAAGATAACTTATTTTTTTCATAATAGATCAGTGTTTCCACACAAGAACTTCTATTCTTACCTAATATTTACCCAATTTTGCCTTATGATTCAAAAGACAGTTGTCTTATTTATATATATAATAAAAATATACATATATATACATACATATAGATATAGATATATAGATTTTTTTTATAATAAGAATTGAACCCAGGGGCACTTAACCACTGAGCCACATCCCCAGCCCTTTTGAGATAGGGTCTCAAAAGTTGCTAAGTTGCTTAGGGCCTTGCTTAATTTCTCAGGCTGGCTTTGAATTTCCTATCCTCCAGCCTCAGCCTCCTGAGCCACTGGGATTACAGGTATGCCACCACAATTGGCAAAACCATATTTTTTTCATGTTTTATGTTTCCCTAATCTGTGCTTTTCACATAGTTAATTACTCAATAAATGTGGTTTTTAAATATTATTATTATTTTTAAAAATAATAATAATAATGCTTTTCTATCATGCACAGTTCCTTTTGCATGCTAGAAAAGCATTCTACCACTGAGCTACATCTTCAATACTTCAAAAATTTTTTTTGAGATGGGGTCTTGCTAAATTGTCCAGATTGGCCATAAACCTCCAATCTTCCTGTTACAGCCTCTTGTGGAATTAGAGGAGTGTGCCACTGTGCCCAGTTTAACTATGGTATTTTAAAAGATATGACGGAGCTGGGGTTGTAGCTCAGTGGTAGAGCGCTTGTCTAGCATGGGTGAGGCAATGTGTTCAATCCTCAGCACCAAAAAAAAAAAAAAAAAAAAAAATAATAATAATAATAATAATAAGTAAAGTTTAAATTCTTTAATAGAAAAAGACAAAACTGTTAAATCATAAAATTTTGTTATGAAAAGATTAAGATCTTAGAGATTCATCTAAAAATTTGTCAGCAAAAGATTCTTAGAGGTCCATCTTTGGCAGTTGAGAAAGCTGAAAGTTTAAGGGAGTTAAATGATTGCCTAAGTGTCCAGGCAAGAACTCTAGCAGTCTTTTTTAAAATAAGTTATTACACTTTTAAAAATTTTTAAAAAATGAAGACTCACCATCCTAATAGCCATTTTTCTTTTTCTTTTAAATTTTGGAGCACTTGATCTTCTTGCTCTGGAAGAAACATTAACCTTCATGATTGTCTGACTGAACTCTTGCCAGAACTCTTTAGTCTCCTGTAATTACCTGTACCCTATAATTCTCTATTGCCTTTATGTGATGGGAACCTTGTTTCAGTAGTGTTCCTTCTTCTCTTTTAGTGTACAAGTTGTTTTTTTCAGGATAATAGAGTACTTCTTATACCCAGTAGTCAGAACTACTGCCCATGACAGCATCTGTTTGACTTTGTTATAATACTGACATGTGAGTCTGCCATAAGCACAAGAAGCATTATGAACCAAAGTGTTGTATGTCTTTTGGCTGATTCACTTATCTTAGGAAACCTCCAGAATCCAAGATAGAGCCTTAATAAGTATAAAATGGAAATACTTATAGTTCTTTTGGTCTGGTAGTTGTGCTGCTTCTGGAATTAAGCATTATATGGAGACTTCAACATTCTACCTATCTTTTAAGATGGCACTTTGTTATCATACCTGGAACTCTTACTGAATTTATACCCTTTTTGGCTTTGTTTGTTTGTTTTTTGATGGACAACATGACTTTATTTTATTTGCTTATTTTTGTATGTGGTACTGAGGATTGAACCCAGTGCCTCACATATGCCAGGCAAGCACTTTGCTGCTGAGCCACAGCCCCAGCCTTTTTTTGGCCTTGTTTCAGACAAAGATGGGATAAAATTTTCTAAGAAAATGTATCTACTATGATTTCCTCATTATTGCATTTGTTCACCATCCCCGGATTCTTCCCTGTCAGACTGAACTGTTTGTTTTTTCCTATACAGTGGGTAGACCACACAGGTGCAGTCTCACAGAAGAAGGCTTTCCATTCAGCAGGATTGGGACTTGAGTTCAATTTATATCAGCACCAGTTGCGAATCCAGGATCAAGAATTCCAGGAAGGCTTTGATGGTGGCTGGTGCCTATCTATTCACCAACCCTGGGCTTCTCTGCTTGTCAGAGGGATTAAAAGGTAAGAATAGAATCAGTGGAGGAAAGAGACCAGCAGGTGAGGAAGTGCTGGGGAGTGATATTGGCCAAATTATATTGTTAAATTATATGCATGTATGAATATGTAAGAACAAATTCCATCATTATGTGCACCTATAATGCACCAATAAAAAATTTGGAAAGTGGGCTGGGATTGTGGCTCAGTGGAGAGTGCTTGCCTCGCATGCATGAGGCACTTGGTTCAATCCTCAGCACCACATTAAAAATAAATAAATAATGAAGATATTTTTTAAAATTTGGAAAGTGAAAAAATTTTCTAGATAACAAAATAAATAAAAAGTAAGAATAGAAATGAATCTTGGCAATGAGAGATCTTTGACAAAAATTTGATTTAGAATTATTTTTCTCCAGCTTACTTATTATTTCCAGTACATAGCACTTGAAACAATATTAACTAGGTAGTAGATTTTTTTTGAAACTGGGTCTTACTATGGGGCTTACTCTGATCTTGAGCTCCTGAACAAGTGATCCTCCTGTCTCAGCTGGGAGTACAGGCTGATTATTCCATTATGCCTGGCAAATTTGTAGATTAATTAAAATTGTTTTGCTTGGCATACTGGCACATATCTGTAATCCCAGCTCTTCAGGAGGCTTAGGCAAGAGGATTCCAAGCTTGAAGGAAGCCTAAGTAAGACTTTGCCTCAAAATAAAATAAAAAGGCAACTAGTGATGTAGCTCAGTTGGTAGAGCCCTTGCCTAGTGTATGTGAGGCCTGGGTGCAATTTCTAGCACTATTAAAAAGAAAACCTAACTATAAAATAAAAAGGATTGTAATATAACTCAGTGGTATAGCACTTGTCTACTGTGTATAAAGCCCTGGTTTAATCCTCAGTACTTAGAATAAATGGAATACCAGGTTTTTTTCATCCTTGGAAGAGAGTCTATTGAAAAAACTCTTTTGAGGAACTATTTTACTACAAATTCCTTTTCTACAAAAAGTAGAGGAAGTAGTGAGGAATAACTAGAGGTATTATAAAGCTGAGTCATATCTATTGGTGATAACTGTTTATTATTCCATGCTTTTTTTTTTTTTTTTTGGTACCAGGGATTGAACCCAGGGTTGCTTAACCACTCAGCCACATCTTCAGCCCTCCCTTTTTTTGTTGTTGTTTTGTTTTGTATTTTATTTAGAGACAGGGTCTCACTGAGTTGCTTAGGGCCTTGCTAAGTTGCTGAGGCTGGCTTTGAACTTGCACTCCTTCTGTCTCAGCCACTGGGATTACAGAGATGCACCACTGTGCCTGCCTGTGTGTTTCTTCTTAATTCAACTTTTAAAATATTTTTCCTTTGCTTTTATACATGAAATTGAAAATTGTAAAATGCAGAAAACTATCTAGAAACAGAAAGATCACCTATAACCCCACCATCAGAAATAGCTATTGTTAGCATTTTGAAGTCTTTATTTCTGTTTTTTTTTTCTTGTTCAGATTGTTATATAATGAGATCATGACATTTATTTTGTTTGAGTTTTTCTTTCAGTTTTCATTATAGCGAGCTCATTTTTCCTTCTTATTTTTCAGAGTTTTGTGTACATGGCAATGTCTATCTCAAACAGTAAAAATACCTTGTATCTAAATAGGATTTAAATTTTCTAATCATTAGCTCTATGAAATAGTTTAAAACGAGGACACTGAGGCAGGCAAAGATACAGTTACTCTAAATGCTAAAACTAGTTAATGTCAGAGATAGAACCAGAGTTCAGGACTTCAAAGTGTCTTTACTCTCTAATCTGCAGACTTTAGTCATTTCCCTACTTTCTACAAAGAAAAATTATTAGCATTTAGGAACAGTCATTTCTACTTCAGTGGTTTCACTGTTAGCTGCCATTTCCCTCGTTTGTTAAGGTATAAAACACTTTTTCTCCTCTACTTGAAGGTCAGGCTTTTTTGCTTTGGCTCCTAATTATTTCCTAATCTGTGTGTGTGGTACTATTAGAACAAATGCATGTGAATCTGCTTTTGCTCCGGGACAGCCAAAGTCTCAGATGTCTGTTTTTCTCATTCATTTCTCTGCAATTTAGGTGTTTTTTTGCATAGTAGAAAGCTAAACAGCTTAATGAGAATGTTTACATTTCCCTCATCTATTCTGGATCTTTGTTATAGAAATTTTCTCATTGGAAAGAACAAGATGAGCATCATCCATTCCCACAATCACTAATCCTACAGAAATAAACTGGGTGGTTCTGCCAAATTTGTGAGACCATTTTCCCAGTAACTTTTCAGGTTATTTGGTATAGAAGGAAGACATACTGGTTCATTCTGCATAATGAGTACCTACTATGTGACCGACACTCCTCTAATTCATCTGTTTTAGCATACTACAAATATGAAAAAACAATCACAGTGCTACTTTCCATTATAAGAATGAGATAAGAGGGATATAATATTAAGGTACTTTGTTTCATTTGATGGGAGGTGAAGAGAAACATCTTTTGTAGTCCTTGGAAAGTAGCAAACTAATTAAATTCTCTTGAGAATTTTATTTCACTTGATTCTTTCAAACTACTCAACAAGTTGTTTACTTATCCACACAGAACATATCTCTATATAAAATAATTAGGAAATGTATATTGGTGTCATTGCAACTTAGAAAATAAAGATAAGCATTTTTATTTATAATTATTTTATTTTTAATTTATTCATAATCATTATTCTATTAAATACCATTCTTGGGAAGTTATGTGTCAGCATTTTCTGTCAGGTTGGAGAATAAAGCAACAAGTCTTCCAGAAAAAAGTTAGCTTTTGACTCAAAGAATGGCAATGATGTTCATATTTGTGGGACAACTTAGATGCTTAAAAACTACAGATTCGGGATTATAGAAGTTTCAAGAGTAGTGAGAACTCCAGGACTGAGTTATGGGAATAAGGTGACAACTATCCAGGAGTTGAGAGAAAAAAACTTTATTCTGATGATAGGTGAAATTAGAAAACAGACTTCATCCTCAAGGGAAAGGTATTATGGGAGAATTTTGTATTTTTCACAAAAGAATCCCTCTTGGTGAGACATCTTCTTTAGATCTCTTGGTTCAACTGAATAATTTGCTTCAGTATTTTTTTTCTTTCTTTTTGGTATATTGTGGCATCTTCTGGGAAACTAGAATTTAGATCCTTCCTACTAAATTTGTATTTGTTCAAGGGTGGAGGGCAGATCCTGGTATACGCCCCACAGAGGACGTCTTTGGATAGCAGCCACAGGCAAAAAACCCTCCCCTCAAGAAGTCTCAGAACTCCAGGCTACATATCGACTTCTCCATGGGAAAGGTAACAGCTACGAATTCTTTCGGTCTTACATTTAGAGAGGAGTCATTGATATTCCTCTTCTTTCAGTTTCTTCTTCCTGTGGCTTTTCCTCAGCTGAAAGGGACTTTTAAACCTTATATTTGTTTATTTACTGACAAATCATAGACAGTTATTCAAAGCATTAATACCTCAAAAAGAGAAAATAAAAATATCAGTTTCTAAAAAAGCAACCAAACTAATCTTAATTTTATCTAAAAAAAAAAAAAATCTTTCCCTTTTCTTTTTTTTTTTTTTTTTTTTGCTATGAAAGTAATATAAATGATTCATAAGCTCCGGGATCTTAAATTGGGAAAAAAACAACCACAAATAATATAATCAAGAGTGACCCAAATAGAGACCTGCTATTGGATTCAGATAGATCAAAGGTGAGTGACCTGAACAGAGAATTTTCAGAATCACCCTAAGCACAGTAAATTTGGATCCTAAGAAGAACTTCTGACCTTAGACATCCTATGTCCCTTCCTCTTATCCAGCTCAGAGTTGTTTTGGAGATAGAATGAAAGGAGAATTACAGAACCACCTTTAAAAGTTTTTAATACATAAAGCTTAAGCAAGGAGTCTAGACTCCAAACTTAAGCAAGAAGTCTCTTAAAAACAGATTTATGGCTGGGAGCAGTGATGCACACCTGTAATTACGGTGACTTGGGAAGCTGAGACAAGAGCAATTGCAAGTTCAAGTTCAGCCTCAGCAACTTGGCTGTAAGAACCTATATGAAAAAATAAAAAGGGTTGGGGATGTACTCAGTGGCATATTACCTCTGAGTTCAGTCCCTAGTACTAGAAAAAAACAAAACCCGTATTTCTGGAATTAGGAATGTAGTTCAATGGTACAGTACTTGCCTAGCATGCTCCGGGACCTGGGTTTAATCCTCCCAAAAGAAAGAAATGAAAGGGTAAAAAAAATTCTATTTCGCCTGGTACAGTTTGTTTTAGATTTGTGTCCTGACCTTCATGCTTGTGTTTTTTAATCACATTTTTATAGTTTTTCTATTGTCACCTGTAGCTGCCTGTCTTCATTGCTAAAATCCATTATCATCAAGCTCCAGTCTGATCCAGTTGAGTATAGTAGAACTGATTTGTTTGGAATAAACTTGTAGGGTCCTTGAACTTTTTTTTTAATATATATTTTTTATTTGTTCTAATTAATTATACATGACAGTATGCATTTTTGACATATCATATATAAATGGAGTATAACTTCTCATTTGTCTGGTTGTACATGATGTAGAGTTACACAGGTCATGTAATCATATATGCACATAGGGTAAAAATGTCTGATTTATCTACTATCATTCCTACCCCATGCCCCTTCCTCCTCCCTTCACTCTCCTCTGTCTAGTCCAAATTACCTCTATTCTTCCTCCCTCCCTCACATCCTTATTATGAATTAGTAGTCCTTGAACTTTGATGAGATGAGGGAATAGTTTTCTAAAGGAAAAATTTCCTAGTTTAGCTAGCCACTCACTAGGTATTTTGCTAAAATACAGTTATGCCAGAATCAAAACTCATTGTTTTCCTTATGGCTATAAATAGATAATAGAAAGTGTTACTTGTTCATAATTCAAAACAGATTCCTGAATTCCAGAGTAACAAAGAAGGAAATTTATTTAATCCTTTTGTTTTTCTTGATTCAGATGTGGAATTTCCCAATGACTATCCATCAGGTTGTCTTCTGGGCTGTGTGGATCTAGTTGATTGCTTGTCCCAGAAGCAATTTAAAGAGCAGGTAGGTGAAGAATACTTCTCCTGGGCAGATGATTGATTTGCCATCATGACTAACTTATAGATCCTATTAGCATATCCTGAAGATAATAAGGTGCTAGCAAATATATTTAGACATATGAAGAAAAAGGGTATCTTTTTTTGTTTTCTTTGTTGTTGGTTTGTGTTTTGGTACTGATTGAAACTAGGGCTTCACACATGCTAGGCAAGAGTTCTACCACTGAGCTACATCCCCAGCCCTTTTTATTTTTATTTTTAAAATATCATTATTTACTTATTTTTATGTGGTGCTGAGGATCGAAACCAGTGCCTCTCATATGTGAGGCAAGCGCTCTACCACTGGCCACAGCCCCAGCCCTATTTTTATTTTTTTAAGATGTGATTTGCCCAGGTTGGCCTTGAACTTCAGTCCTCTTGCCTCAGCCCCATTAGTAGTAGGGATTATAGGTGTGCACCACCATACCCATCAAAATAGTCTTTTTATTAGTTGCTGACGGACCTTTATTTTATTTATTTCTATGTGGTGCTAAGAATTGAACCCAGTGCCTCACACATGCTAGGCAAGCCCTCTACCACTGAGTTATAACCTCATCCCCAAAGGAGTCTTTTAATAAGATATATTGGGGCAGGAAAAGACCCTATCAATGACAGAAAAAAACCTAGTGATGCTTTGGTATTTGGTGTATGGAGAACTGGTATATATACATTTCTGATTAGGAAACTATTGCCATAGTCCAGCATAAAAGTATAGGGTCTTCATCCCTTACTAAAGCTTTGCTTCTTTTGGTGAGGAAGTCTTCAAAAGTATCCCCTGAATCATTTTGATTGGGTGGTGGGTATGATAGATCTGTTATTGCTTTTCAAAGCATTTGAACTCATGATAGTAGGCAAGTGTGTTTGAATACCAATTGCTTGGATTGTGTCAGGTGTGTTTGTGTGTGTGTGTAGATGTACACATACATGTCTATTTTGTTTTTGATCATTGACAATTGAACTGACATAACAAAGTACTTTTTTTTTTTTTTTGAAATACCTTTATTTATTCATTTGTATGTGGTGCTGAGGATCGAACCCCGGGCCTCACATGTGCTAGGCAAGCACTCTACCGCTGAGCTATAGCCCCAGCCCCACAAAGTACATTTTTGAACAGTAGAGGGAGACAAAGGACTTTAGCTTAATTGAAAAATTCTTGACATACAGGATTTTTATATTTAGTTTCATACTGGCAAAAACGAAGCCTGAGGAGTCTCACTAATAGTATAGTTTTCCTATTGTTTTGAACAGATACTATAGGTAATAGGACATCTACCACTATGTTTAATAAAATGTGCTTTAGGTTAATTTTTCTCAGTAAATTCTTTGTTTTTCAGACTTACTTTTTTTTTTGGGGGGGGGGTCGGTGCTGGGAATTGAATCCAGGGCCTCATGCATTCTAGGCAAGCGCTTTACCATTGAGCTACTCCCCTCCCTGCCTCCCTTGCCTTTTTTTTTTTTTTTTTTTTTTTGTCTCAGGGATTGAATCCAGGGGCACTTAACCACTGAGCCACATCCTTAGCCCTTCTTTTTTGTGTTTTATTTAAGAAAGGGCCTCCCTGATTGCTTAGGGCCTCACTAAATTGCTGAGTCTGGCTTTTTTTTTTTTTTTTTAAGTTATAGATGGACACTATACCTTTATTTGATTTATTTCTTTTTATGTGGTGCTGAGAATCGAACCCAGTGCCTCACACGTGTGCAAGGTGAATGCTTTACTACTGAGCCACGATCCCAGCCCCTAAGTCTGGCTTTGAACTGGAAATCCTCCTACCTTAGTGGCCCCTCCCCCAGCCACTGGGATTACAGGCATGAACCACCACACCTGACTCTGTGTTGCATTTTTGCTATTAATGCTTCCTTTTTTTCCCTTTACTATTCATAGCTATCTCAACTTCTTTATCTTTTCCTCACAGATTTTAGTCAATAGTTATTATCCCCCTACATTTCTGTCTTTTATTTTCTTATGGGTTGCCTCCTCAATCTGTTCTGATTACTGTTTGTGTCTGAGTACAACGCATGTATTTTTTTTTTTTTTTTTTTTTAGAGAGAGAGAGAATTTAATATTTATTTTTTAGTTTTCGGCGGACACAACATCTTTGTTTGTATGTGGTACTGAGGATTGAACCCAGGCCACACACATGCCAGGCGAGCACGCTACCGCTTGAGCCACATCCCCAGCCCACAATGCATGTATTTTGATGTGAATTTTGACTCCTACTCTTTTGTTCTGCCATTAGTATCTGATCTAAACCTCAACAGAACCATAGACATGTGGAGGCCCTTCACCACCTTGCACTCTTGTGCCTGTATTATCTATGGGTCTTTTGACTGTATTTTTTTTTTTCAAGTGTCATCATTCTTCCTCCCTTCCCTGTTCTTCTTTTTTTTGCCTGTGGTGTTAGAGATCCAACCCAGGGCCTCATGCATGCTAGGAAGGCACCCTACCACTAAGCTTCATCCCTAGCCTTCTTCTCCCCCCACCCCACACTGTAGAATTAATAATTATAAAAATACCTTATATTGATATGGGTTTTACAGTTTTAAAGACTCACAGTTCTTAACAACTTAATAAAACTTAGTGCATCATATTCTCTTCATGTTATATCTGCATTCTAAAAGAGAACCCAGCTGCATCTGCCCATGTGGATGGTAATTGGAAAGGGGCCTTGTTTTACTTTCTCCTTTATTGATCAAGAAAACTACCTCCTGACAAAGGTCAAATTATTTCAAACTCTAGACAGTTAAATGATCGTTCTGCCACAAATTTATTCAGGAAACTGTAATCCTAAAGTATGGAATACCATGAGGGTTACAAGAATTAGAATGTAATTAACAAAGTAAATTTTTTTTTGGTTTCGTAAGGATACTCTTGTTTCAGGTGAACATGATGTTCCTCCTTCAGCTTACATTCTGTTTTATGTTCTGAGGTTGCTGAGGGCAGCATGTAGAAGTGTAGGAACCTTCCAGTATGTTCTCTGTTGGAAGTCCTGTCAGTTCTCATTATGAATTTTCCTTATGTATGACATTAAAATATACCAAAATGCCAGAAACCTGTAGGCTTTGTCAAACACAGGAATCCCATTTCATTTTTCCTTGGTCATCAGCTTTTCTGTGGCTTTTCACCATTGTTTCTTTCCTGTGTTTGAGTGTAGCATGTGAATATATTCAGGATTGATAATAGCCGATTGATAATAGTTGTTGTTATTTATTGGATAAAGATCTTTTCACTTCTAAAAATTGTAGCTTTGACTGGGTGCAGTGGCCCACGCTTGTAATCCTGGCAACTCAGGAGGCTGAGGCAGGAGGATGGCAAGTTCAAGACCAGCCTGGACAACTTAATGAGACCCTTCCTCAAAATCAAAAATAAAAAGGACAAGGTGTGGTGGCACGTGCCTGTAATCCCAGTGGCTCTGGAGGCTGAGACAGAAGAATCATGAGTTCAAAGCCAGCCTCAGCAATGGCGAGGCACTAAGCAATTCAGGTCTCTAAAACACAAAATAGTGCTGTACCAATAATAAATATGTAAGTAAGTAAATAAATAAATAAATAAATAGGGCTGGGGATGTAGCTCAGTGGTAGCACACTTTGGGTTCAATACCTAGTACTGTTAAAAAAAAAAAAAAAGTTGTAGCTTTGGCATTGGCTGCCTTTTTGGAAAATGTCTCGACCACCCTTGGTGTAATCATCTACCTGTCTCTGTTTAGAGTTCTGTGATGTAAAAAATGTAGTTGCATAGTCTGTTTTTGAACTAGAGTTCTTTAATGTAAGAAATATAATTGCATTGTTATACCAGCCTGATTTTTTTTTTTTTTTTTTTTTTGTCGTGGTGCTGGTGATCAAATTCAGAGCCTTGCACATGGCAGGCAAGGACTCCACCACTTTAAGCCTTATTCTTATTGCTAAAGAAACAAGTTGAGAATTTAGGAACAATAGCCCTATACTAGCATCTCTAAAACTATTCCATAGCATAGGTGTTCTTTGAAATATGTATCTTGAAAATGTCTTTGGATTAAACAAATTTATTTGTTTACTACAGAATTTTTCAGAGCCCTTAATATGCTGGTATACATTATGCCCTTAATGAGAGGTGAATATACTAGACAATGTCCCTAATTTTTTCTTTTTTTGGTTTGGCAGTGCTAGGAATTGAATCTAGGGCCTTATGTATGCTGGACTAACACTGAGCTACATCCCCCACCACACACACTTGCATATTATCTGTTTACAGACTGCAGAACTGGTAACCTAGTATATATAGTTTAGAGAGCATTTGTCTGCTATGTTTGTTTTTCCTTTATCCTTAAGTCAGTGCACAGAGAGAACCATCCAGGAAAGTTTCCTGTGTGTTCTTCAGCATCTCAGCAAGCCTTTCTTATCACCCAACTGAATCACATTTTGTTTGAAAACCAGTGTGGATTTAATCATTTTTATTTCAACTGAAAGTAACTTCCTATATTACTTGGACCACATTTTACTTCTCTATTTCTGTTCCTAACATTTTTCTTCTTCAAAGAAACTCAGTTATTTACTTCTGACATTATGTTCTTGACTTTTCTTTGATAAATTAAAATCACCAAGCCCTTATTATTTTTTAACATAGTGTGATCATTTTGTTCTCTTAAAAAAAAAGAACAAAAAAGATTTTGCCAGTGATTGTTTTAAAATTAAGTGCACTACACTATAAGTGGCTTTTAAAAAATATGTGCTTGGGCTGGGGTTGTCGCTCAGTGGTAGAGCGCTTGCCTAGTATGTATGAGGCCCTGGGTTCAATCCTCAGCACCACTTAAAAATAAGCAAATAAAATAAAAAAATGTGTGCTTAACATGCTCTCTCCTGAGCTAAGAACTTGTCTTCCTTTTATCTTTTAATACTAATTTGGCCAACATGGCTAATTTGTGCTGGAAAAAAATCCCACCACTAGACTCTCAACCCTCCTCAGTAATGCCTGAGGATAACCTGGACTAGGTAACA